TTAAGTCAAAATTGGTGGGTACAGGGCTTAGACCCAGTCCTTCCTTAATTTTTTTTAACTTATCTGAGATGGTTAGTCTGTGAGTTAAGGACCTAATAACAAACTCATGGCTCTGAGTTTATTGTTAGGGTGTTTTCTAGATTGTAATTAGAAATAGCTAAGAGGTGTTAACGGACAACAGTCCAGATTGCTTTACATAGATAGTTGTTTTTCAAAAACATCAGAAGTCCACAGAATTGATGTTTACAAACATTTCTTTATTAAAGTCATCTGATTAGAGACCTGTCTACTCCTGACAGCTTCCCTGTCTTAGAGTCTATGAAGAAATTGAGCATCTTTGGAGTTACTTCAGTAGTGATGAGACAGCCACTAAGCAAGAATTGCTTCTTTTCATCTATAGACAAATTACTCTCCAGAAAAAGGACACACTTGAAGAATAGTCAACTGATTATATCTGCCAAGACAGAGTGATCAGCCCTTCAATATTCTGTATCATAGATCTGACAGATGATCCTGGGTCAGAAGGCTGAAGATCAGATGCTCCAATGTTTTGAAGTAAGGGACTGTCCAGGTGTTCAGCGGTCTCTATAAACTGGCTAAGTTTTAGAAGCTATGCTTTGTGCTTCCCATATTTTCAGTTAAATCAGTCATTCTGGATTTCTGATGGTATTGAAGACTTATAGTCTCATAGCCAGTCCCAGCTATTTACTTTGAGAGAAAAGATTTGAGAGGATGGCTTTCAGCTGACTGTCATTCTAAAGCCAGGACATAAGCCAGGTTCAGAACTAAGTCTTTTAGTTAGGAGAGATGACAGAGGTTCTATTTAGTTAACAAAAATGTTGGACTGGTATTAGGTCTATCTTGTACCTTACTGTTACAAATTGGTATAGTTGTGCTCTAATTATATTTTGAGAGAAAGTTTTTTTTTTTATGCTAACAAGAAGGGTGATCTGTAGTGGGATAGCGTCCTACTACATTTGTATAAAGCTCAGCGATTGGGCAGTATGTAGTCTGAGTGAGGAGTCAGAAAGAGAAGAGAGGGTCAGAAGGAGAGGAAGAGGAGGAGCTAAGAAAGATGTAGAAGCCATGGAGAGCCATGCATGTATCGAGAGCAGTCCTGGATAACAACCTTTATCTAGGTTAGTTAATTGGTTAACACTTCTGATTGTGTGGCCATCTTGTTTTTTGAGCATTACCAAATATATAAAGCTATTAGATAATCTTTAAACATTAGTGTCTCATTTCTACCGGGTACCAAGTGGATGGCGGGATGGTCTGGGCTCATCCAAGCATTGTGGAGATAGCGTGTCAGACTGGCAGAGCCATCTTCCATGCTGCCATCTCGTGGGTGGCAGGGCCAGTGCTACTGGCCTGAGTGAGTCGGTGGCCTGAGCCAAGGAACAGTGAGAACATGTGGCCGCTCGTGACCTCAGGCCTTGCCTAGTTGGGAAGATGGTGGCCCCACAACACAAGACAGATCAGGTGCCCCCGTTATAAATATTACCATTTGGTTCCTTCTGGCCTGGGCCCGAGCACTGAGCAGATCCTGGACAGCAGCTCTGCAACCAATCTCACAGAACCCAGAGGAAGCTGGCCTCCCAGGAGCTCTAACCTGGGCAGTATCTTAGGTTAGGAGACAGCAACACCCGCCACAAACAGGGAGTAACTGGGACCCACTGGGACCCAGGAATTTACTCCTGGCCCGGAGCACTGGTTCTTTCCTGTCTGCACCCGAGCACTGAGCAGATCTTGGACTCCGGTGCTAACCCCAGTAGTAACACCCACCCCCACACAGTTCTGAAACAACCAAGATAATAGGAAAGACAGGCTCCAGCAAGAGACAGAGCAGGTAGTGCTAAGGAGATCCAGATGGCAAAAGGCAAGCACAAGAACATAAGCATCAGCAACCCAGGGTACTTGGTATCATCAGAACTTAGTTCTCCCACACTAGAAAGTCCTGAATTCCCCATATCACCAAGAAAGCAAGTTTCAGATTTAAAATCACTTCTAATGATGATGATAGAGGACTTTAAGAAGGACATAAATAGCACTCTCAAAGAATTTGAGAAGAACACAGGTAAACAGATAGAAGCCCTTAAAGAGGAAACACAAAAATCCCTCAAAGATTTACAGGAGAACACAACCAAACAGGTGAAGGAATTGAACAAAACCATCTAGGACATAAAAAATGGAAGTAGAAACAATAAAGAAATCACAAAGGGAGACTACCCTAGAGATAGAAAACCTAGGGAAAAAATCAGGAAGTCATAGACGCAAGCATCACCAACAGAATACAAGAGATAGAAGAGAGAATCTCAGGTGCAGAAGATACCATAGAAAATATTGACACAACTGTCAAAGAAAATGCAAAATGCAAAAAGTTCTTAACACAAAACATCGAGGAAATCCAGGACACAACAAGAAGACCAAACCTAAGGACAATAGGTATATATGAGAGTGAAGATTCCCAACTTAAAGGGCCAATAAATATCTTCAACAAAATTATAGAAGAAAACTTCCCTAACCTAAAGAACGAGATGCCCATAAACATACAAGAAGCCTACAGAACACCAAATAGACTAGACCAGAAAAGAAATACCTCCCGGCACATAATAATCAAAACACCAAAAACACAAAACAAAGAAAGAATATTAAATGCAGTAAGGGGAAAAGGCCAAGTAACATATAAAGGCAGACCTATCAGAATAACACCAGACTTCTCACCAGATACTATAAAAGCCAGAAGTTCCTGGACAGATGTCATACAGACCCTAAGAGAACACAAATGCCAGCCCAAGCTACTTTACCCAGCAGAACTCTCAATTGCCATAGATGGAGAAACTAAGATATTCCATGACAAATCCAAATTTACACAATATCTTTCCACAAATCCAGCCCTACAAAGGATAATAGAGGGAATCCTCCAATACAAGGAGGGAAATTATACCCTAGAAAAAGCAAGAAAGTAATCTTCTTCCAACAAATCCAATAGAAGATAGCCACACAAACATAACCCCACCTCTAATGACAAAAATAACAGGAAGCAACAGTCACTTTTCCTTAATATCTCTTAACATCAATGGACTCAATTCCCCAATAAAAAGACATAGACTAACGAACTGGATACGTAATCAGGACCTAACATTTTGCTGCATACAGGAAATGCACCTCAGTGACAAAGACAGACACTACCTCAGAATAAAAGGCTGGAAAACAATTTTTCAAGCAAATGGTCCTAAGAAACAAGCTGGAGTAGCCATTCTAAAACCTCTAGCCCGAGAACACAAAGGGAGAGACTCATGGCTCCACCTGTATAGGTAGATGAGGGTGGCCTTGTCAGGCATCAGTGGAAGTAGAGGGCCTTGGTTCCTGAAAGTTTGAATTCCCTAGTGTTGGGGTATTCGAGAGCAGGGAGGAGGGAATAGGAGGATGGTGGGAGCACACCCTCATAGAAACTCCCAGAATTATATGGATTTGACTGGCAGAGACACTTGAACATCCGCCTCCATGTCCCCTGCCTACCAACCAGGAGTCAACCTTGGGTATCATTGTTCTTCAATTCCTAGTCACCTCGTTTTTGAGGAAGGTTTTCTCACTGAACCAAGAATTTGTCAGTTTTGCTTGGCTGCCAGGAAGCTCACCCCAGGGACCCATCTGTGTCCAGCTCCCCAGCATAGAGATTATCAGCATGCAGAACCACACTTCTCTCTGTTCAATGTGAGTTCTAGGGATCAAACTCAGGTCCTCTCTCACTTCACCAGCTGAACCTCCATCCCGGCCTAACTTCAGTTCCAATGAACTTTTAACTACAACAAATAGAAAACAGATTAATCTAAAATGAATGCTTAACTGTAAGAGAGGACCGATCCAATGGTATTAAGAGTTTTTCTCTATTGTGGGAGCTTATAGGGTTTGACCAAAATTAAAGGTGACAAGGGTATCAGTAATGTGAACTAGTTTTAAATGAGGCGATCCATTTGTTTTAAATTTCTAGCTTCTGACTATATATTCTGAAGCTCTCTTCCAGAGACCAAAGGAAAGACTGCACTTTAATCTTTCCTTCAGTAAACCCCATTTATCTTGCATGTGAATTACTGTTTCTTTGCATTTTGTAGCATTTCTAAAACTAGTCATCATGAATGAGGTGCCTATTCCTGGTTGTCAACTTGACTGTATCTGGAATGAACTACAATCCAGAACTGGAAGGCTCACCTGTGATCCTGGTCCTAAGGCTGAGAGATACAAGTTTCTGACCTGGATCTTGGCATGGAGATCCTGAGGCACAGTGGCTATGAATCCCAGGAGACTAAGGCAAGGAGATCTCTGAGTTCAAGGTCATCTGAGACAAAGGAAGGCCCAGATCCAGGTGTGGTGGCACACACCTCTAATCTGGGCCACACCTTCTGCTGGAGACCTACATAAGGACATTGGAAGAAGGAAGATTCTCTCTTCTCATGCTTGCCCTTTGGGACTGAGCAACTGCTAGATCCTTGAACTTCCATTCACAGCTGCTGCTGACCATTGTTGGGGAGTTGGACTACAGACTGTAAGTCATCAACAAATTCCCTTACAATATAAAGACTATCCTTAAGTTCTATGACTCTATGAGAATGAATACAATGAAGAATTCAGCTTTTCCAACTGAGGAAGTCTCAAACATGGTCAGTAGGAATATTTTGCCATTGAGACTGTAGTATGCATTTAAAAATCATTTTTACATAATCTACCCTATTCACCTTCTCTGATCATTTGAATACTTTATTTGGCTCTGAAATGTGTATCATATTTTTATAATCTTATCTGGGTCTGGGAGTGTAGCTAAGTTTTAGAGCAAAACACTGTGACTTCAAGTAAAATGGGGGTGAGGCATCTATACAAAAATCAGTGAAGGACCTTTTCTGTTTGTAAGTTTCTTGTTCATTATAGAGTACAGATCAGATGTGACTCCATGTTCTAAGCCAGCTCGTGGCTACACACACATTGTGCATTTTATTACTTACAGTTCTTCTCCAGGCTTGGCTTTCTTGTCTGACACCAGATAGACAGTTCCAAAACTTCCACTGCCAAGTTTCTGCTGAAGAACATATCTTCTTGCAATCAAAGTGGCTGGGCACATGGAAATGGCTTCGGGTCTCCTCACACACTTAGCAGTCTCGTGGAATTTCAGCATTGCTCCAAACAAGATAAAACTGGCTTGTTCATTCACAGAAACAGTTGGGCATCCGAGCTGATGTTTGAAAAGTCAAACGGGAAGTGTTGATTGACGCCAGAAATATGGGAACTCCACAGATCATGTCTAAAAGCAGCTACACGATTCCCACAAAAAAGTATGAGCTTTTGGCAATGATATATACACTGTACCTTGTGTTATCACACCAGCTAATGCTCATGCACTGTGTGAGTGTGTGTGTGTGTGTGTGTGTGTGTGTTTTGTAGGGTGGAAGAAAATACTGAAAATTCCAGAAGGCACTCTCTCATAGAAAGAGAGCCTTCCTTATACATGCAACTTTTATCACAACGGTTTACAGCCACATTTTTACTGACTCCTGAAATGTATATTTGTTTTATGATTCATATTTTGTTAAGATATTTATACTTAAAAATATCAACTTAAAAATAATGCAGAAACAGGGCCATGGCTTCTTCTAATGCACACATGCACCTACTTCCTGGTGCTGCGCTCCTCCCTCTGAGTCTGCTTTGACTTATGAACAGAGTAAACTGGGATTCAACCACAAATTAGCATATTCTGCTTTCCTCTGCCTTTTGCCCAGGTAGACTTTAGATTCCAGTTTTGGGGTGTCTGTTTGTTAGACTAGCTAAGTGGAGGGATATTAATTCAGTGCCCCCTCCATCTTAAGCAAGATCTGATTCCATTTCTATTATACACACTGGGTACAGGGCAATCTCCTGGATTAGAAGTAACAGCATGCACCCCAAGCCTAAGACTGCTTGTTAAAGCTAGCTGAATATAAACGTAGTATAGGTAAAGCCATAGTTTCTGGAGGAGCTATGAAATGTACAGCCGTTATGAATGGCAGCACCGTTTCATGAGTAAGTATTCCATAAAACACACTTTCATGCATTCCATCAAAGTATTAAATGTTCTGCTGAAAACAGTGCTTTTGTTTAAAATCTATATGAAGATAGGATTTTACAGTGACTACTATGTACACCTTGGCATTAGGTTTTCATATTCAGCAATTCCAAAACAACAAGAAAAAATAGTTATAATGATGACCTGTGGGCTTGACATTCACCACAAAACCTACCAGGACACTCAAACAGAAAAAAATTGCAAAACATACAACCTATTTGTAATATCATCTTCTTTAAGTAATGTATTGATCTGTTTTATCTAGTCCCAGTGAGAGCAATACCCGTCTCCTCAAGGAAATGTTACTAAAATGTGCAGCACCTAAAGAATAGGCCCCTAAGCTGGGCTGTGGTGGTGCACGCCTTTAATCCCAGCACTTGGGAGGCAGAGACAGGCGGATTTCTGAGTTCAAGGCCAGCCTGGTCTACAGACCAGGACAGCCAGGGCTACACAGAGAGACCCTGTCTCAAAAAACCAAAAAGAAAAAAAAAAGCCCCTAAAAGGTACCTTCTGTTTGCTTCTTTGATTGGCATAAAAGTGGTAATTTCTAGATAAACTAAGCTGTTCTGGAAAAATGCATGGCCTCTCCACAGCCTTTCAGATCACTAATAATAATTCTCAATGTGGAGAGGCAATTAAAGTCCCCATTTAGTGACGGGCTGAACTTAAGATGGAAGTGTCAAAGCTTCTATTTGTAATGGAGTGATAAACCCAGCAGTGTGTGAGCAGCCTCTCCTGGCTAATCTCACAGACTCAGCTCTGTCACCCTCATCTCTGTTGGTAACCGTGGAATCCACTGCAGCCTGGCTCTGAACCTGGGGCAGTGGATGAACTTGGGTGCTAGGAACATAGGTTATATTTACATCCCTGGGGCCTAGCTAACAGCTGACATACAGTAGGTGTATCAGTAAACTTTGGAGAGTAAAGAAAGTTCCAGCATACCGAATGTGACTCAAAGACAAGTAAAGGAAAGAAAACATAATAGGAACTTGAAGAAAGCAGAGAGATGCCCACTTTGTGCTAACCATCCCTGGGGTAAACGACCCATCCCGCTAGGGCAGGCAAAGAGAAAGCCACGTGTTTACCGCGGGTGGGAACTGAGTGGTTTATATCCATGTTAAACAAACAAACAAAAAACTAGGAAGCTGTTTTGACCTGGGGTTCTGCTAAATCTGACCTGAGAAGCAAACTCTAACCCTGAGGTAAAATGAAAAACTTCCTTGTCTCTTCAACAAATAAACCTTGAATTTTTCGCAGAGCAGGTGGATGTAAATCAAGGAGCAGGGCGCTTAGTCTCCCGAAGGGGACTAGAGCCGGGGACTGTGGGACCCGCTGTCCATCCGCTTTCGTTACCTTTTCAGGTCCCCAGCTGGCAGCGCCCCGCCAAGCTTCAGCCTAGAGCTCGCTGCTTGGACCAGTGTGGTTGTTTAACATCGTCGCCACGGAGACGGCGCGGAGGCTACTGGGAAGTTGACGTTCGGCGCCAGGAAGCGCGCAGGGCCCTATGAGGCGGGACGGGCGTGGCAGAACGAGCTTCCCTGAGGAGGCAGGCACAATTGTGAAACAAATGGCCCAAGCTTCTATACCAAGTTTCCGCCACCCGTCCCGAAAGCACTTTCTCCTCCAGGAAGAGCCCTCAGCGTCTGGAAGCCAGGCTTCCCAGTGACGTCGTTACCAGGCACTTCCTGTTTCCGCTCGCTGTCTTCCACACACCTGCGGCTCTGCCGTTTCTCCCCGGCTCCTACCTGCTGCTGGTGAAGTGAGCCGACCGCCGAGAGAAAGCAGCAGGTGGGTCGGGAGGGCAGGGGCACTTTGGGGTAGGAAGATCTGTGGTTGAGGAATTAGATACTACCTTTTGCTCACCTTTGCCCTGCCCTTTGCATGAATTTGCTGAGCTACTTTGTTCAGGGTCAAGTCATTAGTTTACAGTGAGTTTGCAGAAACCACAAGACAGACCAGGAAAGAAATGACAATTCAGAATTAAAAGTGTTGAGATGTTGGCGGAGGTGGATCTCAGGTGAGATAAAATCAAGCGCAATAATGTTAGCTGATAGCAAAACCAGAAAATTCAGGAGGATGCACTTTTAAGTAGTATCCCCTAAAATAATAAAAATGCAAAAATTCCAAGATTGACAAAACTTTCACGATTTTAAACAAAGGCAAGCCTGGCAATAGCATCGTTAGCATCGTGCTAAGCTATATTTGAAGCCTGGGGCGAGAGGGAAAACCAGCAATACCAATCCTATGAGTTGTTAGCCAGTTAGACCATTAGTAAGGCTGTGTAAAGAATCCTAATTGAGGTTGAAATTGCATACTTGGGATCCTAGAGGCATAAAGCTGAATTTTTCCTTAGCCCAAACTGCTATCTAATGTACTCAACACCTGTAACAAGGGCCTACTTACCCATAAGAAAGAAAAATTGGGTCATTCTGTGTCTTATGCTGGGACTTAAGGCATTTATAAGGGTTGTCATTTTTATAGCTTAGGACTTTGCCTTGACCCTCACCAAACACATACCCAGTTTTGTAAAATGGAAACATAACTCCAGTAGCAGAATCTGTAGAGTTGCTATATTGGTGTGACCATAATGTCCCTATAAGGCTAGGAGTAACCTCCATCATTAACCAAAGATCAAACCCCATGAAACTGAGTTTGTGTCTTGTACTGCACAAGAAAAAAAAAATGTTTGGCTAGGTACTTTGACACCCAATATAGTTTTGTTTAAAAAGCATGTCTCATTTTCTGTTGAAGCAATGATTTGGTACCCCTATAAGTATTATATTAGAATTCTCTAGCAAAACAACTGATAGTAGCAATCTGTTAGTATGTACATATGCACTCACAGGATTCATTAGAATGCCTTAAAGTCTGTGGTCCAACTGTCCCAACAATGGCTGTCTTCTGACAGAAAGTCCAACAATCTAATAGTCATTTGGACCATGAGAGTGGACGTCTCAGCTGAGCTTCAGTGTCCAGTAGAATCATGAAGAAGTAGGGGTTAATCCCAGTGAAGGAATGAAATTGTCAAAGAGAGCAAGCTGACAAAGAGCAAGAGCTTCCTTTATCTCTATGTGGGCTGCCAAGAGGTGTGGCCTAGATTTAAGGTGTGTCTTCCACCTCCAGTAATCCAATCAAGAAAAGGCCCTCAGTGGCGTGTCTAGGAGCTTTTGGGTCTTGGTTGATTCTAGATATACTCAAATTGACAACTAAGACGAGCCATCAAAAGGATCATCAATTGAAATTAGTTTTTTATTGCTTCAACAGGGAGTCCTGTCAGTCATCATGGGGATCCGGGGACTAATGAGCTTTGTGGAAGATTATAGTAATGAATTCTTCGTTGATTTGAAATTGCAGAACACAAAAATTATCATTGATGGCTATTCTCTTTTCCACCGACTTTGCTTCAATTCAAACTTGGAGCTCAGGTATGGGGGGGACTATGATTCATTTGCAGATGTTGTACAGAAATTCTTTGAATCACTGTTTGCTTGTCATATTTGTCCATATGTTGTATTAGATGGAGGATGTGACATTTCAGATAAAAAGCTGACAACTTTGAAGGATCGAGCTAGAGAGAAGATCCAAGCAGCCCGTTCCCTTTCTCTTGGTGGGGGTGGGAATGTGTGTCCCTTACTCATCCGAGAAGTGTTCATACAGGTTTTGATTAGGCTTAAGGTATGTTTTGTCCAGAGCTTTTCAGAAGCAGATCGGGACATTATGACACTTGCCAATCATTGGAATTGTCCTGTGCTATCATCAGATAGTGACTTTTGCATTTTTGACCTGAAAAGTGGGTTTTGCTCACTGAATAGCTTTCAGTGGAGAAATCTGAACACTATTAAGGATACACAAGATTACTATATTCCTGCCAGAAGCTTTTCCCTTGATGCATTCTGCCATTACTTCAACAACATGAACAAAGCCCTACTACCTCTCTTTGCGGTGCTATGTGGAAACGACCATGTTAATCTGCCCATCATGGAGACATTCGTAAGTAAAATACGTCTACCCCTTAGTTCTAAGGGGAGGAGATATCACCGAGTTCTAGGACTTCTGAACTGGTTGTCTCATTTCAATGACCCCACTGAAGCACTAGATAACGTTCTCAAGTCTCTCCCCAAAAAGAATCGAGAAAATGTTAAGGAACTTCTCTGCTGCTCCATGGAGGAATACCAGCAGTCCCAGGTGAAGCTTCAGGACTTCTTCCAGGATGGTACTTACGTCTGTACAGAAGCTTTGGATCTGGGTTTACCAGAGTGGGTACTAGCAGCTCTGGCCAAAGGCCAGCTACCACCTTTCATCAGTGATGCTTTGGTGCTCCGAAGGACCTTTCTTCACACACAGGTAGAAAATATGCAGCAACCAAATGCCCACAGAATATCTCAGCCCATCCGCCAAATCATCTATGGACTCCTTTTGAATGCCCCACCACACCCAGAAGATATATCCCAGAATACACTGCCTTCCCAGCTTCTGGCTTTCAATGAAGTGGAAAGAATTAATACAAATATCAAAACATCAACTGTCTATGCGAAACAACTGCTCGAGGATCATTGTGACTTGAGCAAACTGGCTGAGGTAAGTTTGTAAGACTAATAAAATTCTTAGAAATTTCTTTATAGGTTATAAGTTGCCTTTGTATGTGCTGTCTCTCTTAAAAGAGCACATTGGTTGCCACTTGCCTTCATGTTGTGTGTGAAGGCTAGACCTCCAGTGAACTAGGTAGTCTTTTAGCTAGTGTCAGTACTAACTCAAACCTAGCACTTAGTACTACATATGCTATTTCCAGTGTTCTTCAGTAACCTGTTTCCTTTGCAGTTATTTTATTATTATTGATCCCAACTAGAATAGGAATATGTAATTTAAAAAGGGGGGAAGGATTGAACTGTGTACACATAGGTACTTGATGTGGGCATAACAGCATCTTAGAGCAGAGTTCAGTTTAGTCCTGATGTGTCCATCTGTCTAAAGGTTTTGTTTTTATTAATGAGGACCTCGTTTTAGGCTTTGAGCTTAAAGCCCAAAGAGTTAGAGCAAGCTGACAAAGAGCAAGAGCTTCCTTTATCTCTATACGGGCTGCCATGAGAAGGTGTGGCCTAGATTTAAGGTGTATCTTCCACCTCCAATAATCCAATCAAGAAAAGGCCCTCAGTGGCGTGTCCAGCCACTGAGTGTCATGTTGACTTGCTTAAACTGATTCTTAAGAGCATGACTTGGCCTACCTTGGTGTTGCTAACGTCTGAGCAACACTAAGATCCATTGTCACTTCAAGGAAGAAAATGCTCTCATGGATCCCAGTGTTGCCTTTTGCTTCTGATAACATGCAAGTATATTAAGAGTAACATATGAAACTCTTTATTGTGAGAATATAATTCAACATACAAATTAAATGTAAATGAACTTATAGTCAGTTGCAGTACCCATTGGGTGTTTGTTTACTCTTAGACTCACAGCGTCATGGGTGCCAGCTTACTCAAGGATGAAGGACAGCAGCCAGCTTTCCTGTGGGAATGATCAGACCTTACTTGCCTCCAGTTTATTCCCCAAGGAAACATGATAGTGATTGTCACTTTCTATGGAAGTGGGAAGGTAGAGTTGCTACTGGGATCTAGTAGGGTAAGGCAAGGGTGCCAGTAAGCTTCTTAGAAGGCACAGATTGGCACCCCACGGTAGAGAACCATGTGACCCAAAATGCCCAGTGTGCCCATTTTTATCCTACTAGTGACAGCGTAAGTGCAAAGTAAGGAGATTCCTACGTCAAAAGCATCCTTGGCATTAGGAAGTAACTACTAATAAGAATAATTCTTCAGGGAGTGATGAGAATGTTCTGGAATTAATAATGGCTATGGAAGCTTATAAATATACTAAAACCATTGAATTGTGTACTTCAAAGGAGTGCATTTTTTGACATGGTTTATATTTCAAAGAAAGTGGTTTCAGTTAAAAAAAAAAAAAAAAAGAAAAGAAAAAGCCTTCTCCTCCACAGGATCTAGTCTGTACTTGCCCACCAGGAATCTCTTATGCAGTGTATTTGTGAGACTCATATAATTCATTCTTTTCTCTCTGATGTAACCGATTGCATCGTGGGAATGAATATGCTACAAAAGACTTTCTGCTGGTTTTCAGTTGTGCTGTTTCCGTCATCTACTTCCATGATCATGGTGGTGCACATCATCTTATAACATAAGAACATATTTCTGCTGCACATCTTGTGGATTGCTGGGCCAGATGACAGGGACATTGTGCTCAGCTCTTAGGTCTTGCTAAAACATCCTGACAGTGGACCCACTAACATTCCCACCAGCAGTGCAGGAGAATGCTTCTTCCTGTGCCTTTGTCAATACTAGGTATTTATGAGCCCAGAAAACATTCTGGCTGTTCTAGTGGGCAAAGTATCATCTTAGTCGCTTAGGTAGGCAGTTTCCCTTTCTCTGATGATCATGCTCATTAACCATTCGGATATTCGGTGTGAAGTCTTTATTCAGTATTTTCCTGTTGTTCTGGGCTTTTTGCCTACTGATCATTTGTCAGTTAACACTGGCCAGGATCTCCCATTCTAATTTTCACTGTAGTATATTTTAGTAAACAGTTTTACTGTACTCATTTAAGTCTTTATTACTTATGGTTACCTTTTTATGATCTGTTTACGAAATTACTACCTACTCTCAAGATCATGAAAACAATTACATTTTTCTTTCACGTTACATCTACAATCTGTCTAGAAGGAGCAGGGTGTGAAATAGGAATCAGGCCACTTTACCCCCTATGTAATCCAGTCCAATCAATGAGATGGAGCATGCTGATTGTATTCCTTGGTAAGTGATATGCTCTCAGCATTCAGTTGTATTCAAAGAGGAAAATTTCATACACTTTGCACCACAGTATATCATTTGGCTTGCCTTTAGCATCCATTAATCAGTTCTTAGCTCAATGCTTTTAAGCTCCAATTAGCCCATAATTCTATGTAGTGGCATCTGGAAATATATTTCCAGACACAAATGTATGCTCAAGTACAAAAACCTTGTGATCATTCCTGCATTTAACATGATGCAGTAATAATACTTCAGTCATGTGACTTTACATACTGGCTCATTTAATTCCCACCAAAACCAAATAGGCCTGGGAGAACAGATGGGACTGCAAGTAGAATAGTTCCCTCTTAAGTAGGCACTGAAGGCTGATGAGTTCAAGAAAACATCTTGTGCTACTCTAACACATAAGGCTCATTTTACATATGATCAGACTAGAAAAACCCTCAGGAATAGCCCAAAGCCACAGTTACTGGTTTCAAATCCTAGACCACTTTGTTCATAAAAGTAACTTGAAGTTTAGGTGTGTTTTTACTTAAAAATGTGAGGCCTTGCTTCTAATTATAAAATTTCCTAACAATATTACAGAAACTTTGTTTGGAGTCAATGTACTATTCAAAGGCCTCAGACATTACTGATGTAACTATTTCGTCAATTATGGTGTTTTGGTTCAGGTTAACATTTCTCTTCACCAGTCAGTCACACTATACTAACCACCTGTTAAGTAGTAAGAATGTAGCCCACTGTCTTATCCTCTGGAGGGGAAGTTGTTTCTCTAACTACATAGAAATACTAGTACAACAACTCTTTTCTTAAATGTTTATCAAAGTATGGCTTGTAAGGTATGTCTTGAGATTTATTCAAGTAAAATTCAACAAGTAGCTCAGAGCTCTCTTGGCTGTTTACTTCTCAGCTTATATTTGAAGACCCTTCTCATGTCAAGCCTAAGAAGAAAGGAGGTATACTGTGTACTACAAGCACAGTATAGGAAGTCATTAAGACACTCCTACCTACCTTGAATGTATTCCTCTTCAGCAGCCACATGCAGCGGAGGGATTTGTAATTTATTTTGTAGAGGTGATCAGTTAGTGCATCTGAGAGAAAGTGATACCTAGTCTACACTAGCAAATAAGGGCAGGGTTCATGTAGACCTTTATAAATCAACTAAATGCAAGTTCTAAGTTAAAAATGCAAGTTCTCAGGCTCCCCTCAGAATACTGAATCAAAATGAAGGGGTCAAGACCTCAGGACTGAATTTCTAGCAAGCTTCTTAAGGATATGTGTACTGACTATGCTCACTGGCCTACAGAGGGAGGAGGCAGAAACACAAAAGATGTTTAGAGGGTATAGAGGGTACTTTCCTTCAAAGATTAAAACTATTTATTAACTTCCACAGCTGAATTAAATCTCATGTTTCTAAAATACCCTAATTTGCAGAATATTTGATGTTTTCAGCTCCCCTTGGCTAGGCGGCAGATGCTTCTGTTAGAAGCCCTGAAGGTCAAACAGGTTGTCCTGGAGTCCATCCCTACTTTTCTGAAGTTGCCCATTGCTGTGACTTGTTACTGGTTGCAGTCCACAGAGGCCAAGGCAAAGCTCCATCATCTGCAGGCCCTACTGCTGGGGATGCTGAGGGAGCCCTTGCATGCCATCGTCAACAGCCCTGGTAGGTTCTAGAAATCCAGGAATGCTTTATCGAGTTGTGTATAAACTGTACATCCTCAAAAACTCACACAAACAAAAAACAATTGACCCTATGACAGCAGAACTTGGAAGTGAAGGTGCCAAAATGCCCTTCATTGATAAGTATTCTTAATAGTTACATATGCTGAACTTAGTGCCAGGAGCTTGGCCTTGGATAGAGCTGGGATGTGCTAGTACTGCCTAACTCAGTCTGCTCTGAGGTACCTTGATGCTTCAGTCTGTGAGCCAGGTCTAACAGTGCTTTGCCAGTTGTACTTCATTCTGCTACCCTGTCACCAACACAGCGGCGCAGCACAATAAACTTGCACCTTTCCAATGAAACCTCTCAGTATTTCCAACCACAGCATTCCTGCTCATTAGCTTCTAACCTTTTTTAAGGCTGTAAGTTTCAATTAATATGTAATAATAGAAAGAAAAAATAAAAACATTTCCAGTAATGAAATAATCTAGGCAAGTTTTGTTTGCATTTAAATATTGGGTAAAATAAATGAAACATTGGAACATGTTAGTTCTTTATTACAACTTTCTCCTTAAAAGATTATGCCATAAAGCTGCCACTGTATAACAGCTCTAACATGATAACTGTTAGCCATAGCTGCATGTGGCTATTTAAAGTTAAAATCAATAGAAATCTGAGCTTTTTGTAGTAGTCACATTTCAAGCACTTGGCAACCTCGCATGGACACATGACACTGTGTGGAGACAACCTTCTTACCATGCAAGAGCCCTATAGACAGTCCTAGACTGGTGTATTCTGAGTTTAAGAATGAAACAGCATGGACTCAGAACATCCCTAGTACTCAAGCTTATCTGACAGTAGCTGTCAGAGGGACCGTCGATATATGACAGTTAACACATGAGTCAGGCCCATGGCTTTAAGAACAGTTTGAAGCTTTGTTTTAAAAAATAATAGAAACTCCCATAGAGTGAGCCCATTAAGATTTTACGTGAGTCCTATAGAAGGGGCATTGTCTGTTTGTTTTCTTTTAGGAAATATGGACCCTGAACCCAGGCAGGCTCAGTGCCTTGCTTCCCGCTATTTGTGAAAGGTGGGCCTCCTTTTTATTACTCTGGAGTTGGTCCCAATGTTATTTTGTGCACTTCTGCTCAAATAAGCCTGCAGAAGCTCCATCTCCTCAGGTTGTTGCTTCTGTCCCTTCTCTTAGGTAAAGAAGCAATGCATTTGTCAGATGATTAATAGTTTAGTTTTCCTCCTGTAAAACAGGCAGAATGTGCTGTGAACCTATGAGCTGTCTTTAAACAAGTGTGTTACCCCACGGGGGTTTTGGGAACAGTAATGAGCAGGAAAACAGTGAAGAGAGTGGTTTAGTGTCAGTATTTTCATAGACCCAGATCCTAGAGAGGTTTACATACAGATGTGGTTAAGGTCAGGAAGCATACTGTGGGAGAGGTCTTATTTCAAGGAAAATTCAGTAACTTTGGGTTGAATAAAGTCAAGAAAAGGGACCTTCAGTGTATATAAGGTATTTATGAAACCAAAAGAGAAAAGCAACCAGTTTTCAAATTAATTGTCTTTGTGGGCTTTGATGTTGGTATACAGGGAAAGGCCAAACTGATGCAGTGTTTGGAAATGCTGCCTTTGGGTTGTTTATCTAGGTAATGAAGATACACGGAGAAATGGTGCCAGGATGTTGTATGAAGAATTACAACAGGTGAAGACACCCATGCGGCCAGGTACAAGACTGGATTTGGACACAGCGCACGTCTTCTGTCAATGGCAATCCTGCCTCCAGATGGGCTTATATCTCAACCAGCTGCTGTCCACTCCTCTTCCAGAGCCAAACCTAACTTGGTAAGCACTGTGGGAAACATTAGTTCAGATGGATACAAAGATTTTAAACAAAGTTTAAGGATTAAAACAAGTGGCTTTGAAAACAATCAATTCTGAGTCTCAGAATACTGTTAATAACTAAAGCTCTAGAAACAAGGAAAATATTTCCAGTTTCAAATTTAAAAATCATTTGTTAGTATATATTACTTTATAGGGACTTTCTCTCCTACTCTACCCCTAGGTACATCTTGTTACTGGTGTGTACTCTTGCACATGTATGTATGTGTGTATGTGTATTTTTTTCTTACCATTTGGTATTAGATCATATAGTTATCAAACACCTTCTCCATGCAGGGGTGCAATAGTAATAAAAAAAATCTCTATCCTCTTGGAGCTTTCAGGTGGATTTTGTCTTGTCAGACAGTATAGGAAGAAGGGAGCTGAGTTTGAGTTGGGTGGGAGATACGGTCCCATGGAGAAGTGGTAGTAACAATGGATTAGTCACCTTGGTAATTGTCTGTCCAGGAATTACTAGAGAAAAAGATAGAAGGCAATGGCTAGAAAATGGGATTTAAGATTGTATATATGCTCCACTGATATTCCATGTATACTCTTCAAGGACAAGCCAAGCTCCAGAGCCTGGCATATTTTTACTGAGTAAAAATATATGGCACCATAAAACTTAGCAGTAAGAGGGTTGCTTGCTTGTTTTTGTGGCATCAGGAACTGAACCAGGTCTTTGTGAATGTCAAGTAAACACTCTACCACTGATCTATAAATCCAACCTTACTTTTGTTAATGTATCTCTGGATCTCATATCTGAGATAACACAAAAACCCTCCACTAAGAGTGATAAACTGGCCTTTGATCTTTGGGCTTTTTTCTCCCTTTCCTTTAATAATTTTGGTCATTCTTAACAGACTCCTGGGTATGGCATGCCACAGTTCCTTCACAACAAAACAGGAGTATCAATATCACTTGTGTTTTTCCTAATGTTTTCTGTAAGGTTATTGTTGCATCTCAGCATAATCAAGACTTCTCAAATGCTGATTTTATACTCACTAAAATAAAGCCTATACACTGATAGCCAAAGTTTAGCAGGTCAATCAGCTCTGGTCATGAGTCATACTGAACTTAGCGGTTCTAGTTAGTCTCATTTTGCATTTGTGTAGAGGGAATTTTATTCCACGTGAATGACCACACAAACGATGCCATTACAATTTTCTGGTATTTTAGCCAAGTCCATTTTATTAAATTCCTTTTCTTGGAGGTGTTAGAAAAGTCTGTCAGTCTGTCAGCACCAGGCTAGCATCATCACAAGGGGTTTTTTGTTTTTTTTGTTTTTTGTTACCAGCCAAAGTGATCACCTTAACTACCCAGTTCCAGTAAGCAATGATGGTTATATAGGAGCAGCAAGCTAAGTGTTGAGATCCTTGTTAGGGTGTTCATCTTCGTTGTTCCACTACAGCGATCTGACCTGATGCTTTCACATCATGTTGTTCTCCCACTGAACAGGTTGTACAATGGAAGCCTGGTCCATGGACTCTGCCAGCGACTGCTAGCATCCAGTTCTGCAGACAGCCTCCTGAGCATATGTCATGAGGCAAAGCAACTTTATGAACATCTGTTCAATGCCACAAGGTCATATGCCCCAGCTGAATTGTTTTTACCAAAAGCTAAATCAAAATCAAAATCAAAAAAAGGGAGGCAGAAGAAAAAGGTCACCAGCCTGGGAACCACTTCAGACACCAGGCACTGGTATGACAGAAGCAACCGGTTTGGTCTGTTAATGCTTGAAAGCTTGGAGGAGCATGTAGAGAACTCAGAGCTTGAATAAACAGTCTGTAGCACACAGGATTTATAGCTCTAACTTTAAAATGGCTCTTTCCTTCCTTGAAGCTAATTTTTCTTTAGGACTAACCTATTTTGAGATAAACTTTATAAGAAATCATCTGAATTCTAAGATATTTTGTACTGTACATTTAATACAGCCTTACTTAAGAAATGTCTGTATTTATGTGTGTTGGGGATGGAGAGCCATGGTACTTGTGTGGAAGTCAGAGAACAACTTGTAAGAGTTGGTTCTGAATCCACCATGTGGGCTCCAGAGATCCACGGGCTCCAGGGATCCACCTCCAGTTGTCAGGCTCAGAGGCAAGTACCTCCCCCTCCTGAGCCATCTCACTGGCTCAGAATCATCTGTAGTTCTTCATTGTGCTTTCAGTCCTCATGGTCCTTTTCAGCAAATAATAATACTTTATAACCTTTATGTGATAGTAACAGCCAACTATATTCATAAAAATTTTCCATAAAAAGTCTGGGTCTTAAAGTCCGGGGATCTGAGAGAAAGTTAGAAATTTGGTAAATTAGACTAAAATTGGTTGATAAACTTGTAAGTACACTGCGGGTCTTAAGAGCATGTTGTTAACTGTTAACAGCCCCCAAACATGAACAGCATTCTGAGCTGATAGATCTAGAGCAGAAGAGAAATGAAAATCTCAGACCAATACTAGACTCCAAGTCTTCCACATGCTGGGTTTTGAGAAAGATTCCAATACTTCATTTTGATTTTTTCCTGTGCTAGAGATCCAACCCAGGCCCTGCGCATGCTAAAGCAAGCATTCTACTGAGGTATACCCTCGGCTACTAGTCAGCATTTTATAAATCAATTAGGACAGAAAATAGCACATAGAACACCTATTTAGTGGTTGTAAAAATGTGTATCTACTATAGTCAAAACTATAGGGTATGATGACACATCCTTATAATCCGGAAATAAGGGCTAAGACAGGAAAGCTGAAACTTTGAGGTCACCTTGGGCAATATTTTAAGCTTTGTCTTAAGAATCCAAAGTGTTTGAGAGGTGCTATTTTAAAATTACTAATACCAACAGGTTTATAAAGGTGCTGCCTAGTTCTGAAGCTCAGACAAGCAGGAATGAACAAGTGGGATGAGCACAGTGGGTCAAGTCTCAAAGTGTAGTCTAACTTGTACAGCTGTGGTTCCTCCTGCTGTTGAACCACTGGATATTCCATCAGTCATCTTAATGATGGCTGAAAGTTGCCAACTTGAGCCAGCTCATCTGTAGTTCTTAACAGTTAGCAATTTTCTTGTTGTGGGTTGATGTGGTGCTGCTATGTATTCAAATGCTAAATTCTCTACCCTAAGATCTGGTTCTCCCACATCTACTGACTTCTTATATATATCGGTTTTTGTTGTGCAAACCTTGTTTCCCAGTTTAAAACTATTAGTTAAATAAAAATGGGTACAACCAATTACTGGAGGGAAGAGAGGTAGGTGGGTTTTCAGCTAGCTGGCTGAGGGTCACCACAGGTACCCCACAGGATGTCTAGCAGGCTTCACCAGACAGTAAAGACATAGTACTCAACTCCCAAGAGTCATACTTGCTTAAGCTGCTTGGGACGGGCACACAATGAAATAATGAGAACATTTTATCCACTCTACCAAGTACAAAGACCAGACTTTGCTGCTGCATATACTGAGACAGAAGTCACCAAGAGGCAAATCAGAGGAAGAGTCACTACATGTGACTTTTGGCTTGGCCTTTCTTTTCCTCCTTCTAATTTCCTTTGTCTGGAAAAAAAAAAAAAATCAGGTCTAGGAGGCAATGAGAAACCTCCGATAAGCAGAGTGTGGTATGTTCTGGATTTCCAACATCTACTTTCCTGTGTTTTCAATCAAGGTGTGCTCTTTCTGATTCCATTCTAGCAAATAAAATCTCACCTGAGGCTTTGGACACGTCAATCTTCAATTAGCAGTTCAAGTAACAAAAGGAGTTCTGGACAGCTAAGATGATTAAATCTTGGGGTAAAACTGGAGAGAGAAAACCACTTACTAGAATCACGCTCTGTATTTACTGGTGGTAAAATTATACTGGATATGTATTTTTGCAAGTTATTTTTAATAACCAAGACCTTGAAAGTTTATTCATCTGTAAATATAATCTCTGACCTTTTCTGGGCCAGTTGGTCAAGAAAAAAAGGACTCAAGTGAACCTTAGTATTTCACCTTGAAGTCCCAATTTAATACTTTTAAGAAGACAAAGACCTTTACTACCTAAATGGTCTTACCATTTGTTCATGAAAGCAGTCAATGACTCCACACCTCAGTGCGCTACCTGTGAAATAGAATTGCTACACTCCAAATCACTGAATGAAGTCAAAATCCTGTGTCTGTAGGTGTTTAGTACCCATATGAAAGCATGGTAAGCCTTGCCTGGCACTAAAGTGTGATTAGATACCATTGCTGTTACATCTGTATATGAAAAGGAAGAGCAAAGCCAAGGAACAAAGGGTGAATGCCAAGCAGTAGAAAGGATACCATGAGGTAAGGTGAAAGCTAAGGGCAGAATTCTGCAAAGGCACTCAAGACAATCACAGATGGGTAAGAAGAGAAGGCCAAGAATGGGAGAATTTACAGAAATCTAAGAGTTGTTATGTTGAAGTCATTATAGAAATAATGGTCAAAGACATGTAATTATCTACATGGATTATCTACAATGTTAGCTGATGAATCTGTTATTAAAAAAAAAATGTGCCGGGCAGTGGTGGCGCACGCCTTTAATCCCAGCACTTGGGAGGCAGAGGCGGGTGGATTTCTGAGTTCGAGGCCAGCCTGGTCTACAGAATGAGTTCCAGGACAGCCAGGGCTACACAGAGAAACCCTGTCTCGAAAAAACAAAAACAAAAAAAAGTGGATACTAAGTTGAGGAAACAGCTCAACTGAAAGACCAAGAATCTGTTCAATTTCCAGATCCCCATGTTTTTAAAAAAAGGCATTCTTGTAATACCCTCTTGCCTAAAGGTAGGCATTACAAAGGAGGAGCTGAAATCTAGGAACGGGAACATCCCCAAACCTAGGTTTCTGATGACAAAGCACTGTAGGTCTTCTAACATCCAGACTCCCACAAGGTTTCAATAGACAAATCCAGGCTGGGGAGATGGCTCAGTGAGAAAAGTATATGGTGCACAGTGTGAAGACCTAAGTTTGGATCCCCAGAACCCATATGAAAGCTGGGCATGGTTGTATAAAGTTGTAACCCAAGTGTTCAGAAGGCAAAGGCAAGTAGATCCTGGGGGAATCTGGGTTAGCCAGTGAACTCTAGGCTCAAAGAAGCTGCCTCCCATCCCAAATAAAAAAAAAAAGAGCATAATAACAGAAGACATCCAGTGTCAACCCCTGACCTCAACAAGACTGCATGGGCAGTCACATACACATTTAAAACGCATATGCACAAAGCCATACTATGTACACTTATAATTTCAGTCATGGGAAAGAGAGCCAGACCCCTGGGTTCACTAGTTGGCCAGTCTAGCCTTCTTAGTGAGCTCTAAGTCAATGAGGCACCCTGTCAGATCCAGTGAGGAATGACAGCTGAAGATAATCTCTGGCCTCCACATGAACACATGCCATGCCATGGTGAGATGCAATTTCTCATGTCCTCCCTCACATCCACTATTCTCTACACAGTCAGCTAGCTATGCAGCAGTTAACCTGTCCCACACTGCTTTATGGGTTATGTTTTATAGGCCTTGCTCACTGGCCTTATCCATATTGTGACTAGATGTGGACTTAACAAACAGGAGCTAACTAGACAAGGATGGCACCATAGAAAGATGGCACCAAAATGCCACTTCTCAACTAATATGCTTCCAACAGAAAAACATTAGATTGTAATTTTTAAAGTGTTTCCAAAACAAACATTTTGTCAGAGTTCTAATACTAGAAATAAACCACCCAATAAAAGTTCTTTTGCCTATCTTCTGGCTAGCATTATCAACAAAGTGACTTGGACTTGAATTTCTAACATTTTCTATTTTCCCCTCAATTTAATAGCAATGTGTTCCCTTGACAACAGAAACATCACAAATGTACCCTTTCCCCTTTCTAGCCATGTAGAGCCATCTTAAGCTAGGCTTTTTAAATACAGGCGAAATCTATAATTTTCAAAACTAAGGTTAATGAACACTGTCCCAAAGACTAGACATAATGCTGCAGCACTGTGTGAGCAGAGGCAAGAAAAGGGCCTTAGCTATAACAGGAGCCACGCTCTACCTTCCTGCCATAACTCGTTATCAAAGCACATCAGTGTCTTCTAGTGTTAGCCCCATTTGCCCATTACCACCAATGATAGAGGGCTTTCTGCTTCAGAGACATTCATTCATTCGTTCTCTCCCCCTCGCCTACTAAGAGAGTCTAACTACAAAAAGTACAAAAAGGTACTTTGGATGGTTCAGACCAGAGTTTCCAGTTGATGGCTTTACAAAGGACTCTATTTGAAAGCTTTATAGCAAAGCAAACTACAAGGCTCCTAGACAAAGGAAACCACAAGGTTCCTAGTGCTGCCTTTTTAATGTATCCATCTGTTTGCTGATTGTTAACTATGCCAAACATCTTAGACTCGTTTTCTGTCAAGTTGAGCTGCATTACAGTTATTGATTACATGTATATGGGTATGCATGTGAGCACAGGTGCTATGATACATGCAAGGAGGGCAGAAAACATCTGTGGATGTCGATCCTCTTCACAATGTGAGTTCTTTAGGATTAGTGGCAAGCTCCTTTACTCAGAGCCTTCTCCTCAGCCCACTCACTTTATTAGTTGTTTTTGTAAACCCCAAAGATACCATGAGCTTCTCATTTAAAATGAGCCTGTGTCTCACTAAGGCCTTCTCAGCTTGTGCTACTGTCTCTATAGCTCAAAATCATTATCTTCCAGCACGCCACAGTTAAACACCATCTCCAGCCCAACTATCTAGCTGTCCATAACAGAGATTCTGTGGGTTTCAGTGTTCCTTCTACTTCCCACCAACCCCTCTGTGAACACTCTACTGTGCAGCTGCAAAGCCCCACTGCCTTTTGGCTGGAACTTCCCCATTGAGGGACTTAGTTATATGCTACTAGTCCTAGGACGGTTCTCCCACAAAGTCATTTCTCTCCTTCTTTCATTGTAATATTTTAGATGCTGCATTTCAAACTGACCTCC